TCACCATAAACACACTTTATACTTAGCCAGACAAGGTGTATGGATATTAGAATTATTGTGTACATTATGGCGTTGTGGTGTGGTGGGTTGATGGCGAGGGGGGGGGGGTGTGATGGTGATGGTGTGGTGGAGTGGTGGGATGGTTTGGGTGGTGGGGTAGTTGTGCAGCGAGTCGCACACTGCAACATGAGTCGAGTGAACCGAGTTCAATTCCCAGCCTTGGATATCATCATCGGTCGTAAGTATGTGAACTGGTCATGGGCCGTCCACTTCACCGACCCGCACTGACCAACGTGGTGAAGTATGGCTAAGCAACCACCACAACCGAAACAACGTGCGGAGCAGGCCTTCCTCCTGCAGTCGTTTGAAGGAGGGCTGCAGGTTATGATTTAGTGCATTTGTAATAAATGGACTCGGACACTTCCTTCTGTCTTCGTGTCTTTTATTGGGTTCTCGTCTTCACCCACACGGCACTCTGTTATAACTCTGTATTTGTAGCCCCCGGCTATTCACTGCTATTATAGCTTCTTCTTCCCTCTGACTCTCTGCTTCATCTACTGTAACCTCCTCCCTGCAGACTCGCTGCTACCTCTATGCAGACTCCCGCTGCTACCCCTATGTGCAGACCCTCTGGCTGCTACCGTATGCAGACCCGCTGCTGACTGTATGCAGCCCCGCTGCTGACTCTCTGTGCAGCCCCGCTGCTGACTGCAGCCTCCTCGCTGCTTCGGGTCGGTCACCGCTGGCCAACGGTGCCGATCCTCGCTCCCCCGTGTTCGTGGCGATCTCGCCACCCTCCGCTTCGCCCTTCGTGGCCTCTCTCTGTTCCTGGTTCCCCGTCACTCCCCGTCCTCTTCCGGTTCCCCTCCTTCTATAGCCTAACCCCTCACCCCCCCACGTGACCTAACTCCTCCCCTCCTGACGTCACCTCCGGAGGGCCGTTTACGCCCGCATTACATCACCCTCCCCCATAAAGAAAATCCAGCCGACCTCGGCTGAATTGCAACCTGACAAGAAATGCGGGTGTAAAGGGCCAACACGTAAAAAGACACGAAGCATGCAACAACAATATAACCAGAACACAACACAATACAATTTCAACGAAACGTGAGGGATTTCGAGCGAGTACGGGCAGCCGGGCCGTCCCGGACGGTCGGCAGACCACCCGCCGAGCGGGAACGTGGAAGGGTTTTAGGGGCGACGGGCGCAAGTTCTTCCGTCGCCATTGGAGGCCCGCCACTGTCCCGCTCGCGTCCAGAGACATCCCGTACTCGCGTCCGCGGAGGGATAGGAAGAGCTGCAGGTCCCGTGGGTTCTGCGGCTCCAGTCGACGTCCCACGAGCGGAACGTCCTCCTCCCTGCGCTGTCACGGCCGGCTTGTCTGTGCCGGAGGGTCTTTCTTTGGGGCGTCCGCTGTCGAGGCCTCCTGCTGGGGCGGCCCCGGAACCCGGGCCCAGCAGTCCCTGGCATAGTGGCCCCGACGGCCGCAGCGGAAGCAGTCGACGTCGGGGTGGCGCGCAGCGGGCACCCCGTCCCGACGCGGCCGCGCCGGCGGCGGAGCCCGCGGCCCTGGCCCGCTTCGAGCCGGCCACGGAGTGGAGGCGGCCGACAACTCCTTTGGGCCGGTCGCATCCGGCACGTACACGGCCTTTGTAGGGTCTCACCCTACGGCCCCCCCATCGACGACAGGACCGCCCGTCCACGCCGTGACTCGTTTCCAGCGGCGGAGATTGAACTGGGCGTCCAAACACTTGGCCGCGGCCCGGGACGTGAGTTTTTCGTGACCGCACGCCGGCATAGGAATGCCCAGATCCCGGGATAACTCCAACATCTTCCCCAAGATGAGAGGTTCCAGCAGGTCAGGCTCCGTCTCCGGGTAAGCGGCCATAGCGAGTTCCAACACGGCGCCCCTGTACGCTACAGGCGACTCCTCCGGTGCGCGTTGCCGCTGCACGAAGCGGCGATGGGCGTCATCCGGTGGCTCGTACGCGTCCGCCATTTCATCGAACACCCCACGCAGAGTTTTCTTCTTCGCAGCTTTTATAGAGCGGAAAAAACGAACGGACTCATCATCAAGAAGAGTCGGAAGCACCTCCAGTGCCTCAGCGTCCGTCCACCTTGCCGTACGTACCGCCGCCAAAAATCTACAGGCGAACGCACTCCAATCGCCCCCGATGGAGAACTCTTTGACGGTTGTAAGGTGACGACTGCGGCCCCTTGGCCTGCTTCCGTCCGTCGCTGACTCTTCCGGCGGTAAGTTCAGCAAGGCGTCGCAACGCGGTGTCGCCAAGATGGCGGACGATCCTCGCGGCGGCCCCAAAATGGCGGCTTCCCGCCTTCCGTGGTGCGCCAAGCCCAAGATGGCGTCTTCACGCCGCGTGGCCGATGGCGGCGCCATCGAAGACAATCCGGGCTCCTGCCGATCACCACCGTCCCCCTCCAACGCCGCCTTTGGCGTGACAAGGTCACACAACTCAGTGATGACGGTTTTAAGAGTCGCCAGCTGCTCCGCCATTCGGGTCCATCTTAAATCTTCGTTCTTCAACGCAGACGGGGCGGACGCAGCGGCAACCTCCTCGACACCCGGGCCCTCACGGATCTCTCCTTCCGCCGAAGTGAAGCCGACCTCAGGAGGAAGATTGTCGTCGTCCGATGATGAAGCCGACGCCGGAGATGGGATATTCTTTTTCCTCAGTTGTTTCGCCATGCCGTTTCACTTCTGACTCCAGTGTAATAAATGGACTCGGACACTTCCTTCTGTCTTCGTGTCTTTTATTGGGTTCTCGTCTTCACCCACACGGCACTCTGTTATAACTCTGTATTTGTAGCCCCCGGCTATTCACTGCTATTATAGCTTCTTCTTCCCTCTGACTCTCTGCTTCATCTACTGTAACCTCCTCCCTGCAGACTCGCTGCTACCTCTATGCAGACTCCCACTGCTACCCCTATGTGCAGACCCTCTGGCTGCTACCGTATGCAGACCCGCTGCTGACTCTGTATGCAGCCCCGCTGCTGACTCTCTGTGCAGCCCCGCTGCTGACTGCAGCCTCCTCGCTGCTTCGGGTCGGTCACCGCTGGCCAACGGTGCCGATCCTCGCTCCCCCGTGTTCGTGGCGATCTCGCCACCCTCCGCTTCGCCCTTCGTGGCCTCTCTCTGTTCCTGGTTCCCCGTCACTCCCCGTCCTCTTCCGGTTCCCCTCCTTCTATAGCCTAACCCCTCACCCCCCCACGTGACCTAACTCCTCCCCTCCTGACGTCACCTCCGGAGGGCCGTTTACGCCCGCATTACACATTTAATATATAGGAATATTACAACTCAGAAATTAACCTTATGGCGGTACCCCGGGGTACAATAGTACCCCGGCTCTCACATGTGATGCAGTCATTTTTAGTCTGTTGGTGGTCGGTGATGCGGCAATCGACTCATCTCGACGAGCTGTACACTACCATGCACCACTACGGTGTGTACGAGCGTTCAGGGTTTCAGCGCAATCATCCTCGCTGCGTTTCGACATCGCGGAGTGGCACCGATTTCGGATTGATTGGTACCCCGGTCGCGGAGTTAAGTACACCCCTGGGAAAAAAAGTGTCCCAGAAATAAAATATTTAATTGCCTCGGCCATTTTGTATTATTTGGTACCCCGGGATACCGCCATAAGGATAAAATATTCATTATCGTGAACCGAAGAAGGCATTGAAAAGGGGTGCGCAGAGGTGAATGAAGAGGAGACGCCAGAAACTGTAAGTGTGCTACAGTGTCCGGCTCTTGTGAAGGGAGTAATGGTGAGAGGCCTGGTATGGATGAATGTTGAACTTCTTTTGCACCGTACGTAGTCAACCGTGCTAAACGGAGGTGGCGTAGGGGAGCGGTAGTGTGTAGCGGTTAGCGCGCTGCACTACGGACCCAGCGACCCGGGTTCAATTCCCGCTGACAGCCAACACAAATTACCATTATCCTAACTGGTCCTAAGCCGTCCCTAGGTCGACTCAGCCTCAAATGAGTACTTGATGCCATGTGTAAACATCGCCATTGGTGACAATGGTTGTGAGTCGTGGTGCTGGCCACCCATCCCATTGTGTACCGTGCCGGCCTTCATAGGTGCTCGCTGAAAACACTTGCCCCAAAATCTGTGTCGTTTGGTATAAGTGGCAGTGGCCATGATCACATCTTAATCGAGTAAGGCACACGATTCCTCAATTACATCGGACGACTGTAGACTGATTCTGCCACGTGGGTAAATGTCAGTCCATTGTCACATATATTGTTTTCCATTGCTTATTTATGTAAGGCGCAAAGGGCACTTTAGCTGTTACCCTGCGTGTCATGCGCCCGTTCTCTTTCGTCTGAGATGAGTAATGATGATGGATGATCCTCTCGCAAATGTTAATTAGTCATCTCTGTGCATAACCTTTCAGCCTCTGGAAAACAAGCTGGGAAAGCCAATGCGGTTAGCGAACGAGTGCGTGCACATTTACATATTCGCACGGTGGAGGTCAAAGAGTCTCTAGAGTGAAAACCTAAGGATGTTGCAATAACCTAACACTTTTGTTTTTAATATAAATAAAAAGATATGCTATGCATGAGGTGCACATTTGGCATTATGTGCAGTGATGCCACAGGGGGACTTTGAAACTTCCCAAGGGCACTCCCATAATTTAAAGCATTTTGAATGAGGGCCTAATTAAATAAAAACAACATAAACTCTACTTTAAATATCAATACAATTTCAATATTTGAGGTCTCAAGGGGGGAGGGTGATTGCCCCTCTCAATACAACTGCCTTCCCGGGCAGTGCCGTGGTTTGGGACGTAATCTCCACAGTTTGACGACTGAAAGCTAAAATTCCTGTAACTGGCGCCAAGATCTCTTTACAGTAGCCCGAGTGCAGCTCAACACTCGTCGGAGTATGGAGACACTTCAAGTTGCCCCCCCCCCCCCCGTTTGTCCCCACAATGCCTGATAAGTGCACGGTCCTCTCTCCCCCCACGGCGCTCGGCAGAGAGTGTGCAGAATGCCACGGGCCCGCTGCTCGTCGAGATACGCAAGACATCCGGGGCCAACCTGGGCATCTCGCTGTCCAAGGAATCGTGCGGAATGAAGCAGATCTTTGTCATCGACAAGATCCGGCCGGCCAGCATCGCCGAGAGGTGCCACACCGCCACCCACCACCTGCCAGGGCCATGCTCCGCAAGCCTGCCGGCCAGTGTCCCGCTAGCGAAAGAGTCCCGATTATTATAATTAATAATGGTTAGAATACAGATGCACAGTGATCCGTTATTTGCTCCCACTCTCAAAAATCACTTTTCGCAACGTTTGATTATGAGGGGCGCCACGGTGGCAAGATATTAACTACCTCGCTTGGTATACAGGAGGTCGTGGGTTTGATCCCGACCCTGATGCCTGTTGTATATTTGGAGTTCGCGTGTCTCTCTCCCTGTGGTTGTATGGATTTTTCTCCGGGTCCTCCGGTTTTTGCTTCCACATTTAGAATCAATATGCGTTTCGAGAATTTGGCTGCTATACATTTACACGCGATGAGTCACTTCGTTAAACTATCATTTGTGGCAAGAATCGCTTCTGAATAAGAGCTACATAACTCAGTGAGCCTTACCTGATCAAATAAACTCGTTTTTTTATTAACAGTACTGACAACCCCTGTTCAAACGTACATTTACCCAAACCGAGCTTCTGCACAACAATTATTTCACAGCTACGAAACTACTGACTACTGACTCAGCACCGAGCCAACCATGCGTTGCACCACTGCATCCGTAAAAGTTCAGTCATCAGCATAAATCTGCATTTACGTCGCCTCGTTGAACAGAGAAAATAAAATACCATGATATTTTTTCCAAAGCCATATTTTAAATGTGCTGGGAGGGGGGATTGTCCGGGTCCCCCCACGAAACCCAGTGGCTGCAGCCATGCCACCCGTGCCACTGCTTATGAAGCTAAAGTACGGGGAGCGATCGATGAGGATTTTTTTTTCAATTCAATTACTCACGCGGGCCGCTGACATCAGGAGCGGTAAAGTACCGAAGCCCTGCGCTGCAGCGTCGCGGGCTGAATGATGTGTGGTAATTACTGAGAACTGCTGTGTTCCTGCTGATGCGCTGACAGCGGGTGACAAATGGTCTTTATCCAAAAACAATGCCTCATCAGCGTAATGAGCCATGCGGCCGTGTCAGCGACGCGTGTGGCTCGTGCCGGGGGCGCGAGTGAGTGAGCCGGGGCTTTTGCGCTGCGTGCCCTGTCGGGCCGTTTGTGAGGGGATAGCAGGAATCCCATCGATCGGTATCGGACGCTTTCGCAAGGCTTATGTTATATGGCACCACGTTCCAATACGAGCAGAAATATTACGGAAACGCGGCCGTCTGTGACAAGCCGGCACCAGAATTATTTTTTTTTAAGCAGACGTTCGGTTCGTGACGAGCATTGGGATTCGTACTGAAGCAATTTGATTAATTACACCACGCGTGCAAATGTGTTGCATGTGAGTACAAAAAAACACACTTCGCACACTGGAAATGTTCACGAATTCGAAAACCTGTGTGAGAGGTTATGCTTTGAAAGATGTGTATCCCCATACTCTTTGGTTCTTTCAGTAAAGTCACGTCGATAGAAAAGTAATGTGGCTTTACCGAAAGAACCAAAGAGTATGGATTCCTGCAGTCACGAAAGCTTCAAATCATGTGTATCCCCGTTTCATTATTTTGAATGTCTAATTAAATTATGGCGATTGCTTTTGAAATTATGGAATTGCGTATTTTTATTTATTCAATTTAAATCAAACTAAATGTTTTACATCTCCCCTGACATGCTACACGTACAGATCTTGTGAGGTGAAATCCTGGTCAGTGGTTAACTCAGTCCATCATATGGGGTTAATAAAATGAACAGTACTTATGAGAAGTAATTCAGAGTTGTTCAAAACACACCCCTGCCATAGGAATATGGAATGGCTGCTACTTTTAGGGTCATCAAGAGCGATTAGCCCTAACCATTGCTCAGTTTAACAGGGATACACTTTTACTTATGATTATTTTCAAGCTGATTGATGTGATTGCAAGGTAATATTGTCGTGGATAGTTCTGTAACAATACTCATGGTCATTTTGCATCTTTATCCATGAAAGTCTTCACAACTGTTCTTCAAAAAGTTCCTTCTCTGCATATTGGGCCAACTTGATGTCACTGTGTAACACATTTTTTTTGTCCCTGGATAGTACGTGTTATTTCCTAATTGCTTATGCCTCAAAAGTACAGAAAATGGCTATTATTCTCCACAAACTTTGCTTATGTGACCAGGATAGTGATATTTAGAAATTTACCTATTTTCCAGAACATTCCAGATAGATTAAGTGCTGAGTAAACTTGTAGTAACTTCTAGAATATTCTAGAACTTTTCAGTAATATAAATATTAGTATAAATAGTAGTATAAATACAGGGGCCTTAAGCCCACCAGTTCAGTTTAATTCCTAGCTGCCTAAGTGAATAAATATCTGCATTTTTCTGAGATGGCATCAAGAGGCTGCAAGCATCCGGCAGACGCATTTTGCTATGTCTGCGGCCAATTTATCAAGACAAGCGTGAAAAAGTACTATGTGGAAGCATCTGCTAAGATGTGTGAGGCCTCCAAGGCATATGTCGGCATGCCTGTCAGGGATAAAGACAAACCCTGGGCACCTCATTTCACCTGCAAGTAATGCAACAAAACTCTGGAAGAATTAATGGACAATTTTTGCTCGAATTTTTTTATTTTTTATTTTTTACAATTTTGAAGTTTTTAATTTTAAAATGTTTTACAATTTTCAATGTTATTAAAAAAATATATCATATATGAAAAATGTTGCGAGAATCTCTTACACATTAGTCATGGGTGAAATAAATGTATTTTTATAACCCCAACCAAAAATACCTCAACGACTTGATCAGAGATGTTGGTCTCACCAAGTCCAATGCCGAGCTTTTCACGTCTAGGCTCAAGCAGTGGAACTTGTTGGATAAAAGTGTGCAAGTCACAGATCAAAGGAAGCGTCACCAACCTTTTTGCAAATTCTTCACCCGTCAAGATGGGCTCTGCTTCTGCCACAATGTGACCAGTCTGTTCTAGGCAATCGGAATCGCCTGTAACCAGAATGAGTGGCGCCTCTTCATTCACTACTCATCCAGGAGCGTCAAATCAATGCTGCTCCATAATGGTAACAAGTATCCGTCTCTTCCCCTGGCTCACTCGGTGCACCTCAAGGAGGATGACAACAGCATCAAGACCTTGCTGGACGCCTTGAAGTATGATAAGTATGACTGGGAGGTTATCGGAGACTTCAAAATGGTGTCATTCCTGATGGGTCTCCAAGGCGGTTTTACCAAGTTTCCCTGCTATCATTGCCATTGGGACAGCAGAGACACCAAGGCGCACTACCACAGGCGGGACTGGCCACAGCGGACAGAGTTCTCTGTGGGGAGGAACAACGTCAAGTGGGAGCCACTGGTGGACCCCCGAAGATGCTGATGCCACCACTGCACATAAAATTGGGCCTCATGAAACAATTTGTCAGAACTGTAGATAAGGAGTCAGCAGCCTTCAAGTACCTTCAAGACTTCTTTCCTAAGCTGTTTGAGGCAAAGGTCAAAGCCGGTGTCTTCGTCGGACCACAGATAAACAAGATCTTGGAGTGCAATGAATTCCCCAAGAAGCTCACTAGTAAGGAGAAAGTGGCTTGGAACAGCTTTGTCGCAATGGTTCGGGGCTTCCTGGGCAATCACAAGGCCAAAAACTACGTGGAGCTGGTTGAGACTCTGGTGAAGAACTATGGCACAATGGGCTGTCAGATGTCCCTCAAAGTCCGTATCCTTAATGCTCATCTTGATCAATTCAAGGAGAACATGGGAGCATACTCGGAGGAGAAAGGCGAGCACTTTCACCAGGATATACTGGACTTTGAATGCGGCTACCAAGGACAGTATAACGAGAACATGACGGGAGACTACATTTAGGGGCTGATTCGTGAAAGTGATTAACAGTATAATCGTAAATTTCGAAAAACTCACTTATAAATCTTTTGTAGTAATGTTTTTTATTACTTTAGTATAAATACATGTTAATTTTGATTCATATGTTTTTTTTTACTTTATCTAAACAAAATGACACAAATTCACCCGTTTTGTCATTGAAAATAGGTACATTTCAAAATATCACTGTTCTGGTCACAAAAGCAAAGTTTGTGGGGAATAATAGCATTTTCTGTACTTTTGAGGAAGAAGCAATTAGGAAATAACACTTACTATGCAGGAACAAAAAATAAAAAATAGTTGTTACACAGTGTAATTTGTTCGCATTCGCTGGTTACTCTTGGAAACCCGAATTGTTCATGACCAGTGAGTTTAGAAAGGTATTTTACATCGTTCTCGGTTACCATATAGATTTACTTGTCCTAGTAGTTATTTTATATTGGTAGATTAATACATGATTATTCACCAATGACTCTCATGTATGATATAATTTCACACATTTGTAAATCACCTCACGAACTCCCTGGGACATTGCCACTTAACCCCTAGGGGTCCGTGTACTCCCAGTTGAGAGCCACTGGTCTAGTGGAGGCCCTTCTGAAAGCAATTGCACGATCAAACAATTGCAGGGCTGCACCTTTACCTTTTATCACTGTCATGACCCAGGGGAGATTTAAAGCCAGTGCATGGGATACTGTGAGATCAGATCTTGGAGGTCAGTTTCAAACTTGCAGCAGCCTTGGGCTCTTGGAGAAGGATGGAATTGATGGTGAAATCTGGTGGCATCTTTGTCTTTGGTTATGTATGTGTAGTGACATAGAATCGGTCACTTCGCAGCATAGCGCTGGTTGCTGGTAGGGAAGAGGATCTGCATCTCCAGCAGCCCTGACTGACAGCAGGTCACGTGATAGACCAGAGAGAGGAATGTAGGGGAAATGTTACGGAAGGGGCACATCGAGCACCCACTGGTAGGTTCCAGAAGAGGGGCGTGGCCGGGGCGGAGCCAGGCCACGCTGACAGCATAAGAGGGGCCCCGGGAGGGGACCTCGAGGCTGTGGTTTGGAGTGGGCTCCCGTCGTGCTGCTGGAGTCTTCGTCACCGTCTCCGTCTTCACCATCTCGGCGTCGTCAGTCAGGCGGTCTACCAGCTGCCCTAACTGGGAACCGTAGTTACTTAAGTGTGAACTGTTTAGGCTGTTAATAAACAGAGTGCCTCCTACTCTTAGTGTCTCTGAATCAGTCACTACATATGTATTTATGTTGAACTTTTTTCGCTCTGTACGTAGCCAACCGTGCTAATCGGAGGTGCAGGAAATGGTGTCCTCTTGGCCTGATGACCTTTTGACCTGCCTACACCCATTAACTTGTGAACGTGGTAGCTGAATTAATACCTATTTTTACAAAGTGGCCACTATAATAGTACTTTTATTTTATATAGCATCATTCATGCTAATTGAATCAATTTTCACCGAGGCGTACATTATTCAAATCCTATATACACCTACTACCAAGCAAATGAAACCCCCGACGACCAAGCAAAATAAAAAAAAAACATAAATAAACAAATAAACAAATGGCACCAAAACAAAAGGCACAAACAACAACAAAACAAAAGGCACAAACAACAACAAAAAGTTATCACATTCGAGAAATTTCTCTAATCAGGTCGCATCCCAAAATATTTCCAGTCAGTGACATCACTTCAATCGTTCTCTCTGTGCAATCTCCTGTGGCTCATTTGTGAATCGGCTGTCATTGAAGCTAACTGAGTCTCGCTGTGATTGCTGCACTTTTGTCTCTCTGTATGATAATGCCCAACTTGAAAACAATTGCCCTTTTAATTACGGCTACAGAGACTGGCTGACCCAAAAGCTGTCGGGAGAAGAGTACTCCACAATTTCATTTGGCTCCACGGGGGCGGCAGGGTCAGTATTGAGTGCCATGCAATCATGTCCCAGCCACCCGGCGAGTCGCGAGCAGCTGTGATGGGACCCATGGCTGCGAGGGAACACTTTATTTAAACCCAGACAGCTCACCTCTCGCTAAAGCTTCAGTTCACTAGAACATCGATAGGTGCTTAAACAAGTATGTAAGGCTTTGTCTGAACTTTACAGTGCACGTATGCACATGCACATGATAACACGAAAGCTACGAGAGAGCAAAGTGGTTCAACTGAACATTGGATGGTGCTCATGCCTGTGGGTCAACATTCCACATCCTTATGACGCGAACCAGTGTGTTTAAATAACTGCTGGCGTTTTCCTACAGGTTGGTATTCTGTCGACCCTAGAGCGATCTGGTGATACTGCTGCGTTGGCAGTGGTGCACAAGGACAAATAATAACAAAAGCCCAAGACATGAATCAATGACACTGTGGCCTTAAAATGAAAAGTATATTATAGGCAACGTTTCAGGCAATGGCCCTCTTCATGACACATAAATAGACAGACTAGAGAGGGAGAGAGGTAGAGTGGATGGAGGGCAAACTAACCAGGCATGGTGTCGACAATGACGGCATGACCAAATTTATTTCTGACTCAATCGGTGAATAAACAAATGCCACTCAGGGCAGTGACACGGCCCAGCGGTAACACGTTGGTTACTGAGGTTTTCGGTTAAAGACAACAGCTGCCCTGGTTGACACTACGGGGGTACTCGCTATTAATATCCGCTGTCTGCTTCTCGGAGGACGTTAAAGATCTTGTGACAAGAAATTTGTATAAAAAAAGAGCTCGCTACGCATGCCTTCCGGCCTCATGGTCCAGATTTGCCAAATTTGTGCCGCACAGGTACTGCTGCCATCAGGCGGTCTCCTAGGCCGAAAAGCTAACTCCGGCTGGGTGGATTTACTGCGATGAGGCGTCATGTGAAGGCGCTTCTAGTTGCTGAGGCATTTAGGTAAACGGTAAAGATGCAATTGCTTACTCGTGCCACTGCTGGCGGAAGGGGCCTCCGCAGGAGGGAGGTCTTTGGTCTACTCTTCCACGCTGACCAGACCGGCTGGGAATGGGACTCTAGGCACTGAGTGCTCCGTTAGAATGTAAATCCCCATTCCTTTATCCTTGCACCTCCCCGCCCACTTCTGTCGGCAGGTGCGGTGCCCTGCACGTGGGGGACCGCATCCTGTCGGTGGACGGCAGCGGCGTGGAGCAGATGAGCGTGGAGGAGGCCAGCGTGCTGCTCGCCTGCTCGGGCAGCTCGGGGGGCGACGGCATCAAGCTGGAGATCCTTCCGTCGCTCGCCCCCCGCCCCACCGGCACGGCACCGGACTCCGGCGTCGGTGAGCGGCGTGCGGGCGGGTGGTCGACCCCCATTGAAAGCATGCCGGGCCCTTCCCCCCCAAACACCGTGCCGAGGTGGCTACATGTTGAGTGCGTGTGCTGTGTGCTGTGTACGGAGGATGGTAATGTCTATTTCTGCAGGTCCACTGTCTTTCCCAAGGGTTTTCTCGAGGCTCCCCCGCTTCTTCGCATGAGAAAAACAATCTCAAAAGTGTACAACTTTGTGGAGCATTAACAATATATGTATCATGGCGAGACTAATCCTTGCCATATGAATGCAGAGTTTCTGTCAGTGGATCAGGGCTATACTCAGTAGTAAAATGCCACACTCATTTTTTGATCCTCTTAATAAGAGATGCAGTGAGGGTTTCCAGTATCTTCAGAGATTGACAGAAATCTGCTTGCTTTGTTGCCTCCTCAGAGGTATCTTATTGCACCTCAGGTAGGTGGTGGCGAGATGTTAATTCCCTCGCCTGGTATGCAGCAGGTTGTGGGTTTGATCACAACACTGACACCAGCTGTATATTTAGAGTTTGCATTTTCTGACAGTGGTCGCGTAGATTTTTCTCCGTGTCCTCCGGTTTTGTCCTCCACATTTATAATCGACGTGCGTTTAGAGTATTTGACTGCTATGGCAAGCTCCCTTCAGAAAATAGAGCTACATAGCTCAGTGGGCCTTGCGTGGTGAAATAAAATAAAAATGATATGTCTCACATTGGCTTCATCTGTGTGTTACCCGCCAACCCCGCCTCCCAGTCACTGGATCACAGGCGTGCGCCACCACACAAAACGTTCGTGACAACGCTTACAGCGAAGCGCCGTCACAGAGCTCAGTGTGCACAGTCTGCTGTAATTAGTAGCGCTTCTATTTGAACGTGTCTATTTGAACGTAGAATTACAAAACACATCACGTATTTTGTGTTTTCATCAACTATCAAAGGTGTAAATTTATAATCACTCACCCATATTGCTCATTTGTTGTCTTGATTATGGTAATTCAAAATGTGTTTATTTTGCCTCATACCAGTTTGCTTAGTAATCAGCTGTTAATTTGAAGAGATGCGTGCTTCCCCACAGACTTACACACACGTGCACACACACAAAGCCGTGCAACTGCACTACAATCGCAGTGACATGGGTTCAATTCCTCGATATTAGTACACACCACTCGAGATTAGTACTTTATGCTTGTCTGGAAAATTCTCGAGGTTGACTCAGCCTTAAGTGAGGCTGCCAGGCGTGATGCTTGCCCACGCCACCTTCTCATATAAGCCATTCACATTTTCAATGCAGCTTGCAAAAAAGAGCTTTTGTCAGGGCATTTGTCACAACGGTGGCTAAATGGAGCATCATTACCTTTTCGTACACGTGCTCTGTACAACTTTTTCTTTTCATTAATGCAATCCTCGAAGCTAAATTGTAGCTGCATTGTCGAATGTGTGGTCACAGCGGTGCTGCGCATCAGCGATCGTTATCACTGCCACGGAGGGGGGGGGGGGATGCGGAATGGAGTTTCTCATAAGTGGACCCCAAAGGGTGACGATGTTCCCAAAGGTCAGGGGAAAAGGAGCTCTTTCAGATGCAAAAGGAGGCACTTGAATTAGCAAGAATCAGCCAGCGCGAAATTTTTGTCATGTTCTCCCAATTGGTTTGGCCCATTAGATGTAAAGGCTGGTAAAAAAACAGTCTCATTATCCATATCTGCCACCACTTTATTCACATTTTCACTCGGTATTTTTTTTTATTCCAACGGTTGCCTCGTGGCTACATTCAGAGCTTGCTCGGGCGCATTTTCGGCAACGGTATCCACAAGGGTGCATTTCCAGGTGCAGTTATTCATGGCAGGTTGCCATGCGTCGTGACGTTCTCTATAAGCCTGGTATTGGAGGTATACATTTTTTTTTCTTATTACCATCTCGAATTTGTGCTGCTTGATCAAGGAATACTTGGTCAAGTGTGAGAAAATTCGGGATGCACACGTTTGTGATTATTGCCCAAGTGCTGTCAGTGCACCCCAAGGTATTTAGAGTTGGGCGCATTACCAGTAACGTTTTGTTTTTAACCTGAAAAAAAAACTTGACTGCCGGATTTGTTTGCAGACTCGGTGCAGATAGGTTGAGACCACAATCATCTACAAAGAAGAGTAGTCGGAGATAATAACATTTGACTAATTGGCAAACGTGTTGTTGTTGTTACACACGTTGACTTATTCGATTTGAAGGGTCTCCGTATTCAAATAAGATTCGGCCTAGAGCTCATCTCTATTGATGGCACAGAGCCGGTGGGTTAACCGCTGTTGACTTCCTGCAAACATTTTGTCCTCATTTTATGCAACAGCTTGAGGAATGATGGGCTTATGTTAACCCTTGATTGGGATTTTAACTTGCAGAGCTTCTGTCTGCGAGTCACCGTTGGGATGCATCGTGTGATGTGAATTCTGATATTTTTCCACTCTCAGGTCAGGGATGCAATCGGTTGAACTGTGCCCCGTACAAATTTGAGAACACGGGGCAACGGTTTACTCTTTTTTTGACCCCGTGTACATTATTTCCCTGTGTTATAAACGCTTGAGGTGCCTTGGGGTAATATCCAAGTATTTACCGAAAACATCGGCACAACAGGAATGCTACAAAAATGGCCAATGCACACGTGCAAAATCTTCTTGGCGACACCCGCTAAAGTCAAACGTGTTTGACATTGGAAATTGGGCATGAACATCTGTATTCGGTGCTCTCTTTTAATGCGAACTTCAGGGACCCGCTTCGGGAATTGTGGGGGATGTTGTTACTCACCCCGGATGTGTTTTATTTTCAACTACGGGTAGCTCTCGCCCGCCAGCTCGGGCTTTTGATACAGGCAGCCTCACAGCGTGAGAAGTCTCCCCCCGACCGTAAGCGACCCACGGAGCTATCTAGCTGTTTTTCAGTAACGACCTGGCTATCACAAATGATAGCCCAATGAAGTATTTCCAGATCATGTGGAAATTTAAAGCAGCCAAATAATCTTAAACGCACTTCGATTATAAAATGCGGAGGGAAAAACCGGAGGACCCGGAGAAAAATCCACACCGCCACGGGGAGAGAGATGCGGAAACTCCAAATATACAGCAGGCGTCAGGGGTGAGATCGAACCCACGACCTCCTGTATCCCAGATGAGGCAGTTAACATATCGCCACCTCGGCGCCCCTCGTCGGGAGCGCCAGTGCATGGCGGCTGGTGTGCGCCGACTTCCAAGAAGGCCTAGGGGCAGTGCAGCAGCGGAACATCTAGGCGGGTATATACCTCGCGTGAAACGGCACCATTCAACGTGAGGCCCCTGCTCTTGTTTGTCTTCTGCTCCGCAGACGAATCCTCACGGGTCGCGTTGCACACGCCGGTGTAACTAATTTGTCCGTGAATTGAGCCATATGAATTGCTTATCGGTTTTTTTAGCGTGCGGCCTGAGCAATGGCTTGTGGTGTAATTGCATACGCGTTCCCCAGAGGGGGGCACAGCGCCCTGGCACGTCTTCAGCTTCCCCATTTTGAACCCGACTTGTTGCTGCTGTAAAAGGCGGTGAAGCACAATTGGATACGTACGGTGCGAAATAAGTTCAACATACATATGTATTTGTGTCTTACTGCTCAGTTTTAAACTTAAGAATTTCATTCGGACTATACTCTTTGGTTCTTTCGGTAAAGTCACGTAAGTATAAAATAAATACATTAAATCACGACGTTTCGATTGCAACACAAGCAATCATCTCCCCCCCCCTCTCTTACCTAAAAACCTCTTACCACGGCATCTCTCTCCTACTTCAGCAAAAAAAATTATTGCCGTGGTTTTCCCACTTGATAATGATTGCTTGTGTTGCAATCGAAACGTCGTGATTTAATTTATTTAATTTTCTACCTACGTGACTTTACCGAAATAACCAAAGAGTATGGATCCCTGCAGTCACGAAAACTTCAAATCTAGATTTAATTTCATTCGGACTTGAACACATTCATTACTTTTAAGGCAATACTTGAAATTAAGAGGTTTAATAAGCGCCTCAAATAATGATTTCCTCATTTACAACATGCTGTTTCACAGTCATCGTTAGGCAATAAAGCGTAACTTTACAAAATACAAGTACGAGTTATGCTACGATGGTCTGAGACTCGAGATTGGTAATTGTTTATCACAAACACGTCTGCAAATTGTGCACATTACTCATGCACATAAATCGCCTAATAATTGCCTCATTTGAATACATTACGACAACATAGTGTTGCTTTGTTGCAATGTTCCTTTTGTTCCCCATTATTTATACATCGCTGTCCAATTTGTTTTTATCCAGTGTTCATTGTATACAGAACGACAAATATTTTCGGACTCAGCCATGTGCTACACTGTGGTGCACATTAAGTATTATTTATCATGCTTAATGTCATTAGGTCTACACGTATGCAAATACACTGATAAAATACGCGATTCAAAAAACAATTCGTTTAAACATAGTGTGGTATTCATTTCCAAACGTATCGCTTTAATGTGGCTGAGTAGAATGGTAGTGCGAGCACCTGGCTCACAATTGAAAGGTTACCACTGAAAATTCGAGGATGAATTCAGCAAATTCTCCCTCTGGGGTCAGCAAAATCATCACCCTAAGTCAGCCGTGGTTTGGCTGTGTACGGACTGACTCTGACCATAGCAATGTGGAGTTGCTACCACGAGCTCAAGGCCAACGATGAAGGTGAGATGCACCCTTGAGCAGGAAGACACCTTAACTTTTGCAACTTTACATGTAAAAAAATAACCATTATCATCGCTAGCCATGACTTATCCACTGCTAGATGAAGGCTCCTTCTGTGTTGTCACCAACCCTCACGATCTCACGATGCCAGGGTCCATCCTGAGCAGATTTTATGATTAAATCTCCGTGGTAGCCATCATCTTGGGCGCGCTCCGTCCTTTGGTAGCCATTCCAAAACCACTCTCGGCTCGAGTCCTGCATCGGGGTCAGGTTTCTGGGCACCTTGGTGGATGTTAACTCCCTCGCCCAGTACGAAGGAGGTTGTGGGTCCGATCCCAACCCTGACTCCTGTATATTTGTTCTCCCCGTGGTTGTGTTGATTTTTCTCCGGTTACTCCGGTTTTTCTCTCGACATTTAGGCACACGCATGGAAAGTATTTGGCTGCTGTAAATTTCCACACGATAAGCCACTTCATTCAGGCCGCATCTGAAAAAGGGCTATATAGCTCAGTGGGCCTTACCTGGTAAAATTTAAAATAGGTTTTAGTTTCCCGAGGCTAACCGCAGGTGACCCACAAAGCCGGTTGCTTTCCAGCTGGAATGAAGTCGTTTGTGTATGGCTTTGCCGTCGTGGGTACGGGTTGAGTCGTGATGACACAAAGCCCGAGTAACCCGAGTGCACCTGACACAAAACCGGCACTCTCTGCGGGTCTCCCCTGGGTCACCGATCCCCCGCGCAGGACTCTCGTCCCAGCCGCCGTCGCTATCCCTTCTAGCGATGTGCCCTGTGCAGGCCCACTTACTTTCACAACACTGTGATGTCTCCTATGCGAGCTTTTTTTCGCCAATTCACATTTCCTTATCTGCATCTCTCTTGCAATTCCAAGCGTGCATTGTCTCATCCTTCTTTGTGCACTTTTCAGATTTTGTGTTACTTTTTGTCAGCGTCCCGGTTTACTTCCAATCCAAATGTCATTAGCAAAAGAAGTTTGTATTGATTTGAAAACGTTATTCTTTTGGCAGAGAGGTTTTTTTTGTCATTAACACACTTATTTAATAACAATTTCTATCGTGGTCTTTACTTTAATTATTGGCCCACGAACCACACGTTGAGATGCGTTTGACAGTTGCGTCCCTTCATTACATATCGTCATGAAATATCTTTATTTGTCGAACAAACTCTTTGGTTCTTTCGGTCAAGTCACGTAGGTATAAAAATAAAACACAACAAAATATATCACGACGTTTCAATCGCAACACAATCCAGCAGTGGAACTGCTGGATAATTTTTTCCGCCTGAGGACGACTGCTCGTGTTGCGATTGAAACGTCGTGACATTATTTTTGGTTTTATTTTTCTACCTACGTGACTGTACCGAAAGAACCAAAGAGTATGGATTCCTGCAGTCACGAATGCTTCAAATCAAGATTGTCGAACAAACTTTGTTGAACGTGATTTCGGCTTTGCGCAAATATTTTTCATTTGTCAAATGCTGCAGGCTTCAGTCAGCCACCAATCATTTCCTGCAGTTCACATCCACTGTTTGTCATGAGCAACACTAGAGCCACATACGCATCAAACTGATGAAAACATAACAATAGGCTTTACCCTTTCTGGCAATGAAACATATCTTAAGATGTTCTAATACTGATGGTGGTGAGACAAGGCCATACAGTTTGCTGTCTCTGGTGTAGGCCAATCCCTTTCAAAGACAATTCATATATTATCAGAGCATGTTTGTTTGCATGTTCACCACAAGTACGTGTGGTTAATGCAGACTTTATGCCTTGCAAAAGGTTTCTATTTGGTGTTTAAACATCTTAACACCTCGTGTTTTATTGGTAGAAAGGGTAAAACCTATTCTTATATTTTCATACACATACATAAGGTTTGCTTTACAATTGGAGGTACCCGTCAGAGGGCCGCAACTGAAAAAACACGAAAGCATGATCCCTGACGTTTTTGCACAATGATCCTTCTGCGTGAAGGGTCTTATGAAGTGCTATGAAGAAGGGTCATTGTCTGAAACGTCGCCAATTATATATATTTTAAATTTTAAGGCCCTTTACGCAGAAGTGTAGTTGACAGTTGCGTTGACATTTTCTCTCTCCAAATAATTGTTTTGAAAAGACACAGCCGTGTACATCTACCTAGGACAGGTTTTGAAGGCAAACTGGGAGGACGATGATAACATAGATTGGAGTGCTTTTAGAAACATTTAACTTGATTATGAAAATCTACGTTTAATTGTGCCTAAACACGAACTTAGAAATATCTGCAAATATGATCTGCTATGACACATTATTCAGAAAAGAGGACATTGATAAAAAAAGTTGTAACAGAGGCCGAAAAGTATGCAAAGGAACTTGTGAAGGTGCACGCTTGGAATTACATTGAGTGACTAAAAGAGGAACACACGGGTCAGAGGACGTTCGCAAGTAAGCACGGTTGGCTACGTACAGTGCCAAAGAAGTTAAGCATACGTACATCATATTGATCGTTAAGAAACGTGGGTCGCCAGAAGGCAGAGTGACCGGTGGTCAAGACGGTGATCGGTGGTCGAGACTAACTACGGAGCAGCAGCCAAAGTATGTTGAACTTGAACTTCTTTTGCTCCGTAATTAGCCAACCGTGCTAAACGGAGGTGTGGGAAAGGGCAACAAACTAAACACAAAACGCAGTTCTAAAGAAATGAGCAGTTCCTGAAGAGAGAAGACACCCGAGGGGAAGTTACCGCAGAGACGGACCGTTGAAATCAGCTCGTGTGCAGGTGTCAGACGTATTGTTGCTTTGCAGCAACACGAGAGATTCCAGTGGCTTTGGTGAGCCTCGATTGAGCATGGCCATTGATAATGATTAATTTGTAAAAGTTTCGTACGCTGAGGAAGTGCATGCCACCGTATGGTAATTTTTGTTACCTGATAAGAAGTTATTTTGTTTCCTTTTACAAGAATCAAAAGGCCTCGGTTTTTTCCTTCTTTTCTTCAACATCGCATTGGATGCACAATTCCAAGGTAGAGCCAACAGCATCGCCTCATTTCATGAAGTCGTTTCGTCCATTTATTCTTCCGTTTCGTTCAGCTTAAATGCGAATCAATGTCGTCTCTCATGACGCAATCGTTTTGTGAGACCAAAAAAAGCCTATCCGCAAACGAAATTAACAACCAGCATGGGCCTCTACTGTATGAAAGCCACAATATAACAATTTCGTACACCAGACCCTGACTGCGCTTCTGCTTTGTCTAAATAATGCACGAGGAAGAAGGGAACGTTCCGATGCATTTTTTATTTAAATTTGTGGCAGTTTTGTCATAAAACAACGCGCAATTTTGCTTTTCTTTGCATCCTGTCGAGGCCTGCGGCTCATGGGCTCGTTTCATCTTCCCATGGCTTTCACCGACGGGGGGAAAGCCATTAATGTGGGTTTTGTCTTATCGTGTGCGGCTTTACGTTGTCACTTTCTTTGATTATTGTGTTAATTATGTATATATGTTTTCATGAATTTGTTTGCATGTGAGAACCGCAATGGGCAGCGGTAATCATCTAGCCGTGAGCATTGGCCGTGGCTTTTAATGTATTTTCCCTATTTCCAAGTTATATTGAAACTGCACTCTTGTTTTGTCCTGAGACGATAAATGTGACCCCCAGGAAGATGATCTCACAGAATAACACCGATGTCATTTGCAGAAGGCACACTCGGTGGCCCACCTTTATCCACCATGCCAATTAAAGCCTCAAAGCTAAAATATTCCAAATTACATGAAAAAGCCAATATGATGGGGAGTTTTGTTGTTGTTGTTGTAAGCTCATTAGTTATTGGGCCGAGACCATGAACTTGTGACACTTGAGAACTCGGATTAATCACAGATGGTTGTTACTATTCAAAGCCTGCCTCAGAGCAGCACTGAAGCAGTGCACCCTGCCACGGCTCGTCCCTCCGAGGCACCCGGCCACTGTATTCTGATTTATTTTACTTCAACATCTGGATGTGTGGATTTTGGGGATTACATATCCCATAGACTACATTCACAGGACTTGCGGCCCTGCTTTGCTCGCTGGTTCTAATCTCCCGGTGTGGAGTCATGTTTAAACATTTGGGGCAATGTTCTTAAATCCTCCCCTCCCCCCACAGTGAGTTGAACGGCAGGTGGCACATGCTAGAATAAAGGGTGGGTCAGTACTCGTAGCTCTTCCGAGATGCCTGTGGCCAGCTTGGAAGAGTTGCCCAAAATGCCCTCGAAGAGGGTCTAGCAAGAGCAAGTTACTGCACCTTTACGTTTTAACTTCACAGAATTCCCCCTTGCACCTGAGAATGAAAGAAAAACGCTCATATTGACATTCTCATCACGCATCTTCATGGCTCCCGTGCCCATGCCATGATTCCTTGCTGTTGTTGTTGTGCGTCCGTCCATCGTCTGTGTGCAGTCGTCGCCGTGGATGCGAGCAGCCATCTGGACGCGTGTGCCGCCCGCGTAAAGGATGCCGCCCCCGTCTCCTGCAGGCCTCCCATTCCACCTCGCCACCTCAGACATCGTAAATTCCCCATCTCCCTTTGAGTTTCTCACTCGTGAGCCCCGGTGCACAACGGTGCGAAAGAAGTTCAGCATGCAGTCCATTCTCCTATAATGCTGCGTGTTGTTTTCATAACGCGAATTGGATATAACGCGATGAATGTATTAGGGAACACTTTTTTATCACGCGGATGCGAATTGTATATAATGTGATCAAGTGAACGGAACTGCCTCGCGCGAGTAGGAATTAGCAGTCGTACGGCTGTCTCGGCGTAGCATGACACAAGGTGGGATGCTGCTGGATGCTTATAGATGCTTCCCATGCGCCTCAATCTTTGTTCAGCCTGCATACGCATCTCACGTGTTAACACGGACTGTGTTTCACCCTATGTTATATATTATTTGTAATCACGTGATTTTTCCATAACGCGGTGTTTTTCAGTATTGCAACTACCGCGTTATAGGAGAACAGACTGTACATGTATGTACAACGGGCAAATTGCCGCGATTTTAACCGATTGTCCTTTCTTCACGACCATTGCATTCGGACAGCGTAAATGTGTGACTTGCTACTTGTGGCAAACTTCCTGTCCTGTGTCAATGAAACCGGATAGCATTACCATTATTTATTTATCTATCGAGGACAGATTTGCTGAACCTCAGGTCTTTCAAGTCTTGGAATGTTTGAGTTGTTTTCCAATGCAGCAGGAAACCACGGTACCTGAAGAAACCAACTCGTTTAAGGGTAGCTTGGAGAATCCATAAAAATAGGTCAGCAGCTTCCTCCTCATACCACAGCCTGTTCAATATCTGGGGATTTCCTGTCGTAGGGGTGATTTCCCTTGTTCTGTGACAGATAACTTGCATGGACAGTCGAATTCCTTAATCAGTATTTTCAAAGTAACTTAATTTGATTACTTATTATTAACAGAACTATATTATCACCGTGAACTTAGTAGCATACTCTTCATAACATTTGTATTAACACAAGCTGCTGATGCTGTACATTCTAGTCCAAGCAAAACTAATCAACTGATACATGCTGCGCTACAGTAATCTTTTTACACCCCAAGAATAGGAACAATGTCATGGCGTTTCTGCTGGCTACCTGCAAACGTATAAATGAGTCAGTTACCTGCAGCTTGTACTGTGTTACTCCCCAGCACTGCCATATGTTATTCCAGCTATCTGCATAGTGTGCTTTAGAGATAGGATAATTAAATCTTGACTTAAAGCTTTCGTGACTGCAGGAATTAATATTCTTGGGTCTTTCGGTAAAGTCACGTAAATAGGTTCAAATAAAATTTTTAATTTTTTTTGTTTATTTTTGTTATTTTATTTGAACCTATCTATGTGACTCTACCGAAAGACCCAAGAATATAGGACAATTAGTCAATTAATCAATCAAAAATATGAATACACTACTTTATCGTGGTCCATTCCGCGGTCCGCTTTATTAAAGGCGGCTGCCCTGACACCCTGCCTCTCGAAGGCTGGAAACCCCCTACAAGCCACGCCCAATGTGATACGGTTCATTATACCAGTGGCGTCACTAAGCCCTGCCTATCACCTCCCGTCCAATGGCACGATTTAGACTCCCCCCCCCCCCGTCACAAACTATTAGTGGTTTATCCAAGTAGTCGAGGAATAGAACCGGTTAATCGGTTACTTCAATAATGGGATAGCCCCCAGCTCGCCTGTGTCTCAGCGTGAGCCAGCACTGTGGCTTGCTGGCTCCCTGTGGCAGCCGTGCGCTTGTGAGGCTGGCAGAGTGGCTCCAGGCAGCGAGGAGGAGTGGAGGAGTCTCCAACTCATATCCGAGTGGCACGGCGTGACCAGAATAAATATGACAGGCAGCGGAGCGGCAATGGTGGCTTCATCTTTTTTATATTATTATTTTTTGGGGAGGCCACCACGCTATTTATTTACATGTTCCCAGGGAAGGTGACTCGCCGGCTCGCATTGGTATTCAACTGCGGTGCTTTCTTGAGCAAAGCGGCTGTAACCTCGTTTAATGCGAGAGCAACTGCGACAAATAAATACACATTTCGAGAACATTTCAGTCTTTGTGGGTGGGGGGGGTGGCAATCCAGGGGTGGCTGTTATTGGAATAGGGTTGTCTCACAGAGTGAAAGGGGAGGTGATTATGTATGCGGTGAACGAAAATAATGATAAAAGGTTGGAAAGAGAAAAAAATCACGGCACCATCAAGCCCACGCATAATGTCTGAGGCTGCTTGTTAGAATGTTCCCCGGCGTGTGCGCGTGTGGCAACTGACTTGGAGCTGCCAGAAAAATACCAATTTGTCAAGAGTTCCTCAGTGAATTGTGTCAGATGTGAACACTACCAACAAGCATTGTTGACGTGACGGGCGCTCCTCGGCCTTGTCACTCGCCTTGCCAAGCCGCGTGACAAGTGAGGAAGAAAAATGAAACGCTGAAGCCTGTTTGTGGGTGTGTGAAATCTTTCAGTTCTTCCACGTCACGCACCGAAACCCACAGCTTTCTCCACATGGAGTCGTATTCTATCCTCTTTTAACTTTAAATAATGCTGATGAAAATGTCATTGCCTCAGTCCATTCCCAAGACCGTACCACCATCCATCGCAGAATAGTAACTATATACAATGACTTATTCACGCAATAGTGACAACACCTTTTAAAAAATACATCACGAATACAGTGTGCCCTGTCATGTGACCTTGAATGTGTCCATTAAAGATGGAAACGTAGTTTTAAAGGTTTAAATATGTTACAAGTATAGATCGTAAGTATGTTGATCTGGATTGGTTAATCAATTATCATGGATTCGTACGCTCATGATACATCCATTAAGTTGTACGTTTGAGATTCAAATAATTATAATTTAATATGAAAAAACAAGAATGGGTTTTACCCTTTCTGGCAAAAAAGCAGGACGTGTTGAGATGTTCAATACCAAATAGAAACCTTTTGCAATGCATCAAATCTGCATTAACCACACGTGCTTGTGGCAAATCATGCAAACAAACATGCTCTGATAATATAAAGGCGTTGTCTTTGAAACTGATTGGCCTACACCAGAGACAGCCTTGTTCATGGTCCTGTCTCACCACCAGTGTCAGACCAGAGAACACCAAAAGGCGAACAGTACAAAGGCAATGCAAGTATCAGAGCACGTGTGCAGAATGAATAGATTACATCGATACGTATTATTTTATTTGAAACACAGTTGCTGAGAACAAGCCAAAAGGCCCAAAACGTCATACAGCCAGCAACAGACAGCACCGTGAAAGTTGTGACTTGTCAACGGTAACACATTTCTTGATTTGAGCAAAGTAATTATAACTAAGAGTTTGGGGGAAAGTGACGATTGGGAGGGAATTGCAAAGTTGAGCAGTGTGAGGGAAGAAGCAGGAAGAGAATGTTGTGACCTGCAATGTGGAGGTTAAACGCATCATATGGATGAACTAAACTATTAATTCCTGCAGTCACGAAAGCTTTAAGTCAAGATATAAACTATTAACTTTTTTTTACCAGGTAAGGTCCACTAAGCTTTATAACTCTTTTTAAGAAGTAATGAAACGATCAGTCTGGTAGACATGAATGAGCACTTAGAAACCTGCTATGTGTATTTTGCTAACATGTAAGGGCACGCTAGGATGCGAAGTGGCTTTACATGAGTGGGAATATTGGCATCAGATTTTATATCTCTGTTTATATGTTAGCATTGTTCCAGAGCTGTATTTACATACAATGTTGTGTTGTGGCAATATCAGTAACACATAGGGTGCCAAGAACCAAAATATGTTCCATCAGTTGATACCAACCCTGAGACTAATCGTTTGGCAAAATGTAATTGCATCAATTTGTTTCAGTTGGATGAGACAAATTTGATATGAAAATTATCTTAAATGAAAAAAATATCTAATCTCCAAACAACATTTGGTATAGATTTTAAATCTGTATTGCCTCGAATACAAAAATAAAACACTTTTAAAATTATTGACTTTGGTAAAATGTCCCCGATTGGGCTTTCCAGGTTCTCTTAAAAAAGTGACAATTGTCTTAAAACTCAATCAGGCTTTCCTCACTAAATGGCGTATAAATGTCTCTTACTCTGGAGGCCAGATTCACGTGTTGAAAAAAAGGGCCCAAACGCATAACCTTAGCGATGTGCCCCACGGTGATGGAGACATTGTAACGTTTTATTCCCCCAAGAAATGGACCCCATACTACATTTTCCGTCGCAAAAAACGTAAACAAGACTGACGATCTGGCATAAGTCAATGCCAAAGAATCTCCAAGAATCCCCCTTGATGGCGGATACAATGACCACAATTCTAACCCACCACACGCTCTTGTAAATGCATAGCACAAAATAATAATTGGTGTCACTGCAGAGAATGTAAATAACAACATAGATAAGCAGACAATGTCTCTTTCATATATCTGTCTCTCGAAAAAAAATTGCACTTTCTTTACACAACTTATCCCCCCACAGACTTCTTGAGTGTATATTTTCAGTGGCATTGATTCAGCATTGGACCGGTTTCAACATGCAGCTGATGAGATGCTTTATGTCGATACCAGTCCAGAGTTTGCTTCGACTAAATCCATGCTGCTGATATTATGCACTCCCGGAAGGCAGTTGGGCCAGTGAGTTGTGCTGAAATACAACATTTTCACGTGGAGCGATTAATATATGAAGGGGACGTTGTCTGCATATCTTTCTTGTAAATATAACTTTCTACAAGTTAAACAAATGTACAGATGTATTTTATATTACTTGTTTATTACTTCATATGAGTCAATAAAAACAGTTAATCTATCTATCTCCAAATTTTAGATACCCCTAAAATCCAATTATTATCATTGATAATTGCAATATGATACAATTTCTCATTAACAAGAGTATTGAACTGTTATATTGTTTTCTAACACTTAAAATGAAGACAGTGGCAATCTATTTGTCTTTGGTCCATGCTTCAATTTCACTTCATGAAAGCATTTTCACTTTTTAATTGAAATAAAAAATCTTTAAAAAATGTATCTAAATGTATTGGTTGCCACTATGGCAAGATGTTAACTAGATCGCCTTGTGTACAGGAGCTCGTGGGTTCGATCCCGACCCTGACGCCTATATATAATCTAATATTTATTAAGTATAAATTATATTTGGAGTTTTTTTCATATTCTCCCCGTGGTCGTGCGAATTTTTCTCCAGTTTTACCCTCCAAATTTAGAAACATGCATATAGAATATGTGGCTGATATAAATTTCCACATGATGATAAGCCACTATAGTGAGCACTCATTTGTCGTCAGATCCCTTCTACATAGCTGAGTGCACCTGACCTGGTCCAATAAAAATAGGTTCGTTTTAGTTTAAAAGTGTTTTCGTGTTCAACTTCAAAAACATTTTCAGTGGCTGTGCAGGGCAGCAGTGTATGTATAAACTCAAGCTGAATATACTTAACAACACGCTCTCATTACCAATACACGGTGCAGTGTTTGAGATGAACAAAAATAGACGCTAATTTAGTGTTTTTGGGTCATCCACGGTCAAATAGTTCCCCCCACTTATCCCGTGCTAATCAGTGAGCGAGTAGAAACTGCACGTACAATGCATTAAAGATAACACTAAAAATAAAGGTCACGTTTAAAGCACATGGGTTTACGGGGAAATAAAGATGATAGAATGATGAAGTATGACACCTCATTTTCACTTTAATATTGGGTTCATCCAGGTCAGCATATGTATATTTACCCAACTGCCATTTTACAACAATGCGTTTGGCCTTTTTTATCCATTTAATTGTATTGCCTCAAAAAACCTCGCGGTAATTAGCACCGATCTTAAAGCTGCGCGGTTGTAACTAATGTGGGGGTTTTACCCATTGCGCTATTTTTGCACTCAGCCCGTTAATAAGCCAAGCGCACGCTCCCATTGTGAATCGTACACACGCTACGTGTCGGCTAAGATATCATCGTCGTCCCACATCGCAGCGTGCGTTTACCCCGAGCTGCGCTAAACACGGCTGTTTATCTGTGCGTTTATATTCAAGTATAAGATATGGAAATTGCGAGATAAGGTGGATGCATTGTAGAGTAATTCACATGCACCACACCGTGCTCAGGCCCACCAATACAGATGAGCATTGCGAGAATGCCTCTTATTTAGTTATCAAGACTCCATAGATGTCATGGTGTCCCTGAAATTTGGCCGTTTGGATAATTGTACGCACACGTGCATTGTGTGGCACAGCGTGGAGCACAGGTGGTCCATCTGGCAGTTATCTCACTCCGTTAACTCGTGACACCTCCATTCCATCTTCACGCCGTCCTGCCAGAGAGCCTTCCGCACTTCACGGCCACAAAATCTACCTTGCTTGCACAAAAAGTACCGTCGTGTGAGGTCGCCGTTACTTAATGGCGAATGATGGCCGTCGTTATCGTCGTTGTCGTGTTATTCCTCTCAGGGACACTGCCCACCCCGAGCACGTCCTCCGCGTCGGACCACGTGCAGAGCCTGGGCTCCCTTCAGCTGGCGACGTTGCCCTATCCCACGAGCCCCGGAGGCAGCCTGCCCCGCCGGGCCCACGCTGCCTCCTCCCCGCCCTCCGGGGGAACCCTGCCCAGGATGCGCCATCCCAGCAGCGCGGGCGCCGCGGCGCCTGCGGCGGCGCCCCCCAGCCTCTACCCCGGCAGCCCCGGCGGCACTTTCCCCCGGACGCACCAGCCGTCGACCCCGGGAGGCTCGCTGCCCCGGAGCATGTGCACCTCCAGTCCCAGCGGCAGCCTGCCCAGGAGCCTGCGCTCGGCCACCTCCGACAGCACGCTGCCCCGGGGATTCTCGAGTGCGAGCGCGTGCAGCACCGTGTCGCGCACCTACTGCCCCGTGAGCCCCGCGGGCAGCCTCAACCGCAGGAAGCTGTGGGGCAAGGACTCGCGCAGCTCGTGTAAGCATGCCGGGGCACTCTTTGGGCACACCTGGGGCACGCCGGGGGCACGTCGGGGCCACACCAGGGCACGCCGGGGGGCGCGCACGCGCTCATTTCAGTTCGACTGTTGTGATTGTCGTAAGGGGCGCTTGCGTGGTGCTGTGGGTAGTGCGCTTGGGCCTGGCGATGCGAAGGTTCACTGGTTTCCCATCTGCCAGCGTGGCAGTCGAAATGACGGTGCGAGCTTTCTTGAATTTTTCTCCAATGTTGGTCCTCCTAGCAGCAGTAGAAATGGGTACGTGCCACGGCCGGTCGATCGGCAGGTTGCGTGTAGCAGGGTAAAACTACAACTTTTTAAAAACTTTTTTTTATTTGACCAGGTAAGGCCCACTGAGCTATGTAGCTATTTTTTCAGATGCGACCTGAACATATATGATAGGTCAACGAAGTGGATTATCATCATGTGGAAATTTAAGACAGCCAAATACTTAAACGCATGTTGATTCTAAATATGGAGGGGAAAACCAGAGGACCCGGAGAAAAATCCACATGACCCCAGGGAGAGAAACATGCAAACTCTAAATATACAGGCTTCAGGGTCGGGATCGAACCCATGTCATCCTGCATACCAGGCGAGGGAGTTAACATCTCACCACCATGGTGCAGCTGCTCCCACATCTTCCAAGGCATCTGGGCCAGCGTGGAGTAGTAGGCCAGAAACCCTGTAGAGAGTGCTTTCTAGAGCTCCCCCTTGCTGAGGCCTTTCTGCCAGCAGTGGCGAGAGCGGGATATTGCAGTGCTGCAGCTTCACCTCTTCGTTCATGAGTGAAGGGCGGCTGCTCCCTCACATCAGATGTGAGAGAAGGAGAACATCTACCCCCCGCATAAAAGGGGGGAAATGGCACGCGTCCCAGTGTCATCGATGTTTTTCAAATTTGATGGTGTTAGACCGCAGTATACATTTTATAGTGCGATGTAAAATGTGCCCCGTTTATGAGGCCTTTTATGCATATTCCAAATGTTCACAGGTGCCATAAAGCATAATTTCCCATGTCCAGCCATGCTTTTAAGTGCTATGATGCACCAATGAATGATACTTAAATCTAACCATGGCAAGATGAAACGGCAATTTATTATTGCCGTTCAATTGAGAAAAAAGTGCAACAAAAGGGGGGTTTACGGTCAATTGTATAAAATGAAGCTATTCGGGGAGTGTTTTAGATGACGCCTCCGCCACGATTTTCACCGCGACTCCTCGCAGCCAGCACCAGGACCTAACACCGAGAATGAACCCAAATTCCCCCCCGCGCACCGCGACCGAATTTCCACCAAACGAACGTAAACTTCCCACTCACGCCACGGCGCGTTGTCAAAGCCCCATGTAGGCAGGGCGCGCACGCCGGTCCGGCCGCGTTGCCTTCGCTCGACACCGCCACGGGTTTTGCGGGCACGCTCCACGTCTATTGCTTCGGAGCCCTTTGGGCTCTCGGATTGTTTTATTTATGTGTAGAAAACTGTTGATGAAAAACGGCGTGCTTCACTTTTAATGTCGTGCCTCTAACCCCCCAGCTCCTCCGCCCCCCAGCCCGTGCTGAAACACCTGCTCGCGTTGCGGCCAACAAAATAATGATTGTTGGCTGCAAAAATAAAGTGCGCTTTATAAAAATGGATGATGATGATGATGAGAATAATGTTAATAATGATGTCGTGGTTAATGCAATGCGTTGTTTCTCTTCGTTTGAAAAGTTTAGAGGTTTTGCAATGCGCGTATATTTGCATTGTTACGGCAAGTCGTAAGTGCGCAGCGGTGTTTATCGCGGGGATATTGAATGATATCGAAGTCGTGCGTGTAATATTAATGAAGAGCCTCCTCTTTAGACCTGAACATTATACAACAAGTACCATTGATTTATTTCGCAGTGTGGCAATCAATCAGACATTACAGAAAAGTAATTTTTAACAGGAATCATTTTGTGTTAAAGTCAAGCAAGGACTACATCATGCTGCGCGGCTTCCAGTCGAGCTATTGGAATGTCAGCAGTCTGCCCGTGGCCTACTTTTGCGAATAATCTCATGCGATACATTGTGTGCGAAACTAAATCACCATAACGAAAACCACGTCTCAAGAGTTGCTGGCACATGTTTGGTAGGGAAGGGAGGGGTGTTGATCGGTGAGTGGTGAGAGGGAAAGGGAGTAAGAGAGAGGGAGGAGAGAGAGAAGGTTACATGCAGAGGAGATCAAATAATGTATCCAGGGTTTGAGTAGGCAGAGTAAATCGGCAGGGCAAACTACTGAGACGAAAGAGTTGCAGACACACGGGGCAGCAAGGAGGTTGGTGTTACCACCCCTCGAGCAATCGCTGACTGGGGGGGTCTTTATCAACGTTTGACTTCGCACCTCCGATTATTACGGTTGGCTACGTACGATGCGAATGAAGTTCAGAATACCTACAACTGAAAGGAAACTACACGTGTTGATAACTTTATAGTCAAGCCATGTACTCATGATTGCTGGCCATACTATAGAACACAGCCCGCTAGGCTATAGATCAGCGGTCGGGAACCTATGGCTCGCGAGCCATATATGGCTCTTCCGGTGACGGCATATGGCTCCCAGACAATTTTGAGTTGAAAAAAAAAATCAGTTTGGAACTGATTTTAAGATACTTGTGATATTGCTTAATAATACTGTGTCATTTTAAAGTAAACAGAAATTAGTTTTGAAGATAAATTTCACGGGTCACGGGTCCCGTGACCCGTGGGTCGGGTCGGGAACCAATGGCTCGCGAGCATGTCACGGGTCATTGTAAAGGGGAAGAAATCCATTTGATCAGATAGCCAACTAGTTTATCCGCTTCAACCCTTGTAACGGAAAAGATGGCGAAAAGAAAAAAAGACGATGATTACCGTGCATTCTAGGCTGCGTGGACAGAGGAATTTGCATTTGTGGAGAGAGCAGGATCTGTGGTATGTCTAATATGCAATGATAAAATTGCATCGATGAAACGGTCAAATATAAAGCGGCACTTCGATATGCACCATGCTTCATTTGCATCGAAATATCCAGCGGGGGACAGCAGGAAAAAGGCATGCGAAGAGCTACAGCGGAGAGTGCAGACGAGTCAGCAGCAACTACGTGTGTAGACCAAGCAAGGTGACGGGAATTTTGCTAGCTTTGCGGGTGCTTTGGCAATAGTAAGGAATGGAAAGCCATTCACAGATGGCGAGTATGCCAAAACATTCATGCTTGATGTGGCCAATGAACTGTTTGATGACTTCCCAAATAAAGACAAGATAATCAAACGAATAAAAGACATGCCTCTGTCAGCAAGAACTGTTCACGATCGTAGCATCATGATGGCAAATCAAGTCGAGGAAACACAAATTAAGGACATAAACGCCGGGACATACTTTTCTTTCGCGATAGATGAGTCAACAGACGTTAGCCATCTATCTCAGTTCAGTATAATTGCCAGGTATGCTGCAGGTGACACACTGCGTGAGGAAAGCTTGGCTGTTTTGCCAATGAAAGGGACAACAAGAGGAGAGGATTTATTTACGTCTTTCATGGAGTTTGCTAAAGAAAAAAAACTACCGATGGATAAACTTATTTCTGTCTGTACTGATGGTGCACCCTGTATGTTGGGGAAGAACAAAGGATTTGTAGCGCTTCTCCGTGAACATGAAAAGAGAGCCATCCTAAGTTTTCATTGCATTCTGCACCAGGAGGCGCTTTGCGCTCAGACGTGTGGCCAGGAGCTTGGTGAGGTGATGTCGCTGGTCATTCGAGTGGTCAACTTTATTGTTGCCCGAGCTTTAAATGATCGCCAGTTTAAAGCTCTGTTAGAAGAAGTTGGGAATCATTATCCCGGTCTGCTTTTACACAGCAACGTGCGTTGGTTGTCAAGGAGGAAGGTGCTCGGCCGTTTGGCAGCTTTCCTGAGTGAAATCTGGACTTTTCTTGAAATGAAAGGCGTCAAGCATCCTGAACTAGACAACACTGACTGGCTCCTGCAGTTTCACTATCTCGTGGACATAACTGGCCATCTGAACCAGCTCAATGTGAAAATGCAAGATATTGGAAATACAATCTCATCCCTTCAACAAGCAGTGTTTGCATTTGAAAGCAAGCTGGAAGTCTTTCTCAGGGACATTGAAACAGGTCGTCTTCTGCACTTTGAAAGACTGCGACAATTTAGAGATGCATGCTTAGCAAGTGACTCCACTCAACATCTAGATCTCCAGCAGCTAGCTGGCTTTACGTCCAATCTCCTGCAGTCATTCAAAGCACGTTTTGGAGAATTTCGTGCGCGTACTGGTCTTTTCAAGTTCATCACTCATCCACATGAGTGTGCAGTGGACAAAGTCGACCTGACATGCATCCCCAGGGTCTCTATCGGAGACTTTGAGCTGGAAGTTGCTGACCTGAAGGCATCAGACATGTGGATGAGTAAGTTCAAGTCACTTAATCGAGAGTTGGAAAGTCTTGCGCGACAGCGAGCAGAGCTGGCGAGGGAACACAAGTGGACAGAAATTAAAAATCTTCAACCTGAAGACCAGCTGATTCTTAAAATTTGGAACGAGCTTCCTGTGACATACCACACAAAGCAGCGTGTGAGTATTGCCGTATTAACCATGTTTGGCTCTACATATGCATGTGAGCAGTCATTCTCGTATATGAGGAACATTAAGACCAACCTACGCTCACGTTTAACTGATGGAAGCCTCAACGCCGGCATGAAGCTCAACCTCACCACGTATGAACCAGACTACAAGGCCATCAGCAAAACCATGCAGCACCAGAAGTCGCATTAAAAGTAAGACATATTTAATTTATTATACGTTAAAAATACTATAAGGCTCTCAATGAAATATATTTAGAAATATTTGGCTTTTATGACTCTCCCAGTCAAAAAGGTTCCCGACCCCTGGTGTAGATGTTTCATCCCAGACACATAAACACTGTGGACTGAACAAAGTACTAGTGAATTTCGCTTGGGATGTTGAATCGCAGTTTA